CCCTCTGATCCCATAATGGCTTTGGAGTTTTTGGCTGCCCTGTGCTCTCTGCAGCCCCTGTGATCCCACAGCACCTTGGGGGGTTTTGGCTGCCCTGTGCTCTGCCCTACAGCCCCTCCAATCCCACAGCACCTCTGGGATTTTTGGCTGCCCTGCTCTCTGCCCTGCAGCCCCTCTGATCCCACTGTGGATTTGGGGTTTTGGGCTGCCCTGTGCTCTCTGCAGCCCCTCTGATCCCACTGTGGATTTGGGGTTTTGGGCTGCCCTGTGCTCTCTGCAGCCCCTGTGATCCCACTGTGGGTTTGGGGTTTGCAGCTGCCCTGTGCTCTGCAGCTCCTCTGATCCCACAGCACCTTTGGGGTTTTTGGCTGCCCTGTGCTCTCTGCAGCCCCTCTGATCCCATAATGGCTTTGGGGTTTTTGGCTGCCCTGTGCTCTACCCTGCAGCCCCTCTGATCCCACAGCACCTTTGGGGTTTGCAGCTCACACAGAGGCACGAGCCAGAGCATCTCCCGATGCCCATCTTACATAACAGCCCTTGCATAACCCCAACACGGTCAGGGTCTCTCTCACGCCAAATTAAGGCTCTCTGGGGTTTTGTGTCACATTCACGCTCTGCTTGGAATCGACTTCAGTTCATCAGGAATTCAAGTTCCTTCTACATGAAGTGGTGGCCAGGAGCAGGGAGGGTTCCACGCTGTCCCATCACCTTCACCCATCCATCTCTTTGATTTCCAGCCCTCTCTCCTGCATTATTTGCACAATCCTTTTTTATTTTTTTTTTTTATTTTTTTTTTTTTTATTATTATTATTATTTTTTTTATTATTATTTTTTTTTTTATTATTATTATTTTTTTTGCAACCCAGGTAGTTCAGTTCTGACCCTCTGCCAGGGAGGTGCTCTCTCTCTCTCTCTCTGGGACATTGTTCCTTTTCTGGAGAGTCTCAGAGAAGCCAGTCTGAACTTGGGAGAGCTGAGATCTTGCCAGGGATGAGAGGGTGGCAGTTAAACATTGGGGAAGGAGGGTTTTTTTTCCCTCCAGAATTTTCTTTCCAAGGTGAGCACTCTTAATTGCARGTGGATGGAATCCAAGCCCCGCAGGCTGTTTGGTCACCAGGCAGTGACTTCACTTTGGGCTGGGTTTCCCTCACTCTCCTGTAAAAGTCTGAGCAGGTACCGTGAAGAGAAAAGATAAAGCACGGGGGGTTGGTTTGCTYCATTTTTTAACTTGCACAACCCGAAATTACAGCAGGGTTCAGAGCCTCAGGGTGCTGAGRGCTCTCGGTGCTGGTGGGATTGCCATGGGCAGAGGGATGGTGAGGCTGAGGGTGGGTGGGATTCACCCTCCCTGGGCAGGGGAACAGGAACAGGACAGAGGGGTCACAGCCCAAAGGCTCCTCTGTGTCCCTGTGCTGCGAGGGCAGCTCAGTTTGGGTGTCCAGAGCTCTGTCAGTGCACAAGAGGCTTTCCAAAGAGGAAAACATTCCCTCTGCTTCTCCAGTGGCTCAGACTGGGTGTCAGAGCTCAGTGACTTCATGAGAGGCTTTCCACAGAGGAAAACATCCCCTGTTCTTCTCCAGCGGCTCAGCCTGGGTGTGCAGAGCTCTGTCAGTGCAGGAGAGGCTTTCCACAGAGCAAAATATTCCCTCTGCTTCTCCAGTGGCTCAGACTGGGTGTCCAGAGCTCCATCACTGCACGAGAAAACAGAGGAAAACATTCCCTGTTCTTCTCCAGCAGCTCAGCCCGGGTGTGCAGAGCTCTGTGACTGCGGGAGAGGCTTTCCACAGAGTAAAACATCCCTTGTTCTTCCCCAGCAGCTCAGTTCAGGTGTCCAGACCTCTGTCAGTGCATGAGAGGCTTTTCACAGAGGAAAACATTCCCTGTTCTTCTCCAGCAGCTCAGCCTGGGTGTCCAGAGCTCTATCAGTGCTCAAGAAGCTTTTCAAAGAGGAAAATATCCCCTGTTCTTCTCCAGCAGCTCAGTCCAGGTGTCCAGAGCTCCATCACTGCACGAGAGGCTTTCCACAGAGCAAAATATTCCCTCTGCTTCTCCAGTGGCTCAGCCTGGGCGTGCAAAGCTCCATTACTGCACAAGAAAACAGAGGAAAACATTCCCTGTTCTTCTCCAGCAGCTCAGCCTGGATGTGCAGAGCTCTGTCAGTGCATGAGAGGCTTTCCACAGAGCAAAACATCCCCTGTTCTTCTCCAGAACTCAGCCTGGGTGTCCAGAGCTCAGTCAGTGCACGAGAGGCTTTCCACAGAGGGAAACATCCCCTGTTCTTCTCCAGTGGCTCAGCCCGGGTGTCCAGAGCTCTGTCAGTGCATGAGAAAACAGAGGAAAACATCCCCTGTTCCTCTCCAGCAGCTGATCCTGCACATCCACAGCTCCATCACTGCACGAGAGGCTTTCCACAGAGCAAAACATCCCCTGTTCTCCTCCATCCCGGAGCTGGCACAGCTTTGGCAGCCCCAGCTCCTTTGTTGGAAGGGCAGCGCTGCCTTTGGAGCTGTCAGAACTCAGTTTTTTCCTGTTGGGATGGTTGGATCTGTGTGTGAGAGTGATCCCAGCGCTGCAGAGGAAGGGTTAAAGCTCCCTGAGAGGATCCCCGTGCCAGGACAGTTAATTGGGGTAATGAGGGGAGTGGGGGTGCCCAGGCATGGCAGATGCCCGGGGTTTGCAGAGCTGGACCCTGTCACTCCCCAGGGCGCGATTACAGCGCCGGGGATTTGGTGGGAATGGCCAATGAGGGGCCGGGCTGGCTCCAAATCCAGCTTTTCCCAAAGCCCCAGATAAAACAGACTTCCATTAATAAGGCAGGAGAGGTTAGGACGAGCAGCATTACCGCAGATCTGGAGAGGTAAGGTGATAGTTGTGTCTGAGGCTGTGGAGCAGCTGGCTCGCTGTGGGAACCAGGAGCAGGCTGGGGCTGCAATTGGGACATTATTTAGCAGTAATTTATTTGCTGATGTGAAAAAATGCCATAGCTGGAGGCTCTGGGTAGCGGAATCACTAAGCTGAGCACAGATTTTCTGTATCTTTGTAGCTCATTCCAGATGATAAATAACTTTCTTGAGAGAAAAGCTCTAAAAAAAACCACCGTAACCTGCTGGAGTTTAGTTTCAGGTTCTGGGGTYTGAAATGGGGATTTGTGGTCAGAARCTGTTGAGCAGTTTTTCACTTCCAGAGCTGGGTTGTTATGATTTCCTCATGGCTGCTCTTTCTCGCTGCTCAGGTCCCCGTCCAGAGATGGAAATARAGCAAGAAATTGAACTAACTTAGTTAAAATGAAGGAGATGTAGAATATAAAGCTTGGCAATGTAAAGCTGAACATAAGAGMAAAAGAAAAAGCCGACCTTTTTCACCCTAATCTTGAGATCTGCTGCTGTACAAAAAAATGATGATGAGCCTTTTAAAGTGTTTGTGACAGCGTAGGCTGCAGCTTTGCTGGACGGGGTAATCTCTGCTGCCGGCAGTGGTGTGTCCTCACCTCCAGCCCCTGCTGCCCTCCCCTCCCCTCCAGCCCCTCCCCACTCCCCTCCCTGCTCTAAAAGAACAAGTGGCAGCTGTTGGAAAGTGGAGCTCGTTCCTTTGTGATGCCATTTGGGAATATGATCCCGATCCTTCATGAGAGAGAGAGCAGAGCAAAAGAGACGAGGGGGCACTCGGGAAGCTCTGGAGAATAACTTGCTTATTTTAATTCTRGTGTAGAAAGTTCAATCTTTGTAGTGAGGTTCAGGGATGAAGCAGAGCTGCTGCTAAAGGTCCTGGCCTGGGAATCAAAGAATTCCTGGTTGAGTGTGARTAATCTTTGGGTTTGTTGGTTGTTCTGTACAAAATTTGCAGTGCGTTGAAATGTCTTTGGTTGTCCTCGAGTGAGAGGAGCTTCAGGAGTAACAATTTAATTCTTCTTGGGGTTTATTTTTAATCTACTTTAGCACTTCAGGTAAGGAAGCAAGGCTCTCCCTGGAAGGAACCTCTGCTCATTATTCCAGCTCCTGATGTCAGTTGGTGACAGGGCACAAAAGACACAAAAGCACAAAAATATTCTAAAACTGGCAGCAGCCAAACCCATTCATAATTCTACACCTTGGGCTTCTGCCAAGCAATTAATGGAAACTCAAACTCTTTATTTTTGTTGTCAGGTCAAACAATCCATYCTGTCAGCTCCTCTTATTCCTAGAGGGAAACTCTTAGAGAAATGGAAGGCAGATGTGAGTGCAGTTTGCTGAAGTGGCTGTGGTGCAGGGGGCACAGGGCAGGGAGAGGAAAGGGTGCAGGTGGGGTGAAGGATGGGCACAGGACAGGCAGGAGGAAGAGCTGATGGTGGGGTTAAGGATGGGCACAGGACAGGCAGGAGGAATGGGTGATGATGGGGTTAAGGTGGGATGCAGGTGGGGTGCAGGACAGGCAGGAGGAAGAGCTGATGGAGGGGTGCAGGTTGATCCAGGGCAGGAGGAAGGGCTGATGGTGGGGTTAAGGTGGGGTGCAGGGCAGGAGGAAGGGCTGATGGAGGGGTGCAGGTTGATCCAGGGCAGGCAGGCAGGAGGAAGGGGTTCACTTTGGTGCAAAACAGGCATTAGAAAGTGCTGATGACCCAGCCCTGCTCAGACAGGCAGGAGGAAGGGGTGATGATGGGGTGCAGGTTGATCCAGGGCAGGATGAAGCACTGATGGTGGGGTGCAGGTTGGGCACAGAGCAGTCAGGATGAAGCACTGATGGAGGGGCACAGAGCAGTCAGGATNGGGCACAGAGCAGTCAGGATGAAGCACTGATGGAGGGGCACAGAGCAGTCAGGATGAAGCGCTGATGCCCCAGCCCTGCTCATGCAGGCAGGAGGAAGGGGTGATGATGGGGTGCAGTTTGATCCAGGGCAGGATGAAGCACTGATGGTGGGGTTAAGGTGGGATGCAGGGCAGGAGGAAGCACTGATGCCCCAGCCCTGCCCAGCCCCTGTCTCTCTCCCTTTGCCCTGTCCTGCCGGGTCCCTGACCCCCCTGTTTTTCTCTCCACAGCTCTCCATGAAGGAGGTGGGTGACGGGCTGCACGAGCAGATGAACTGCATGATGGGSGCTCTGCAGGAGCTGAAGCTGCTGCAGGTGCAGACGGCGCTGGAGCAGTTGGARATCTCGGGGGAGCAGCGCCGTTCGTGCCGGGGCAGCGGGGCCGGGCMGGACACACACCCGGGGGTGGCACAGGGACACTGYCCCCCGTCCCTGGTGCCACAGACAGCAGCTTTGTCCCACCCCGCTGCGTTCCCAGAGAGTGACCACCGCGGGGACACCCCCTCCTCCTCCCRGAGCCTCTCTGGGGAGGGTTTTTATCCCCCAAAAGGACCTTCCTCGGTGTCTGGCAGAGCAGAGCACGTCTGGCCCCAGTCACTCGAGTCCAGCAGCACGGCCGGGGGGTGGCCACCGTGTCACGAGTGCCCGGGCTGTGACGATGGCCACGACTGGACATCGTCCCTGATGTCCCAGAGCAGGAACCGGCAGCCCCTGGTGCTGGGGGACAACATCTTTGCAGACTTGGTGGGGAACTGGCTGGACCTGCCCGAGCTGGAGAAGAAGGGGGAGAAGAGYGAGGGCTCGCTGTCGGTCAGCAGGTCCCAGGAGCTCTGCAGGAAATTCTCCCTCACAGCCAACATCTTCAAGAAATTCCTGCGCAGCGTCCGGCCCGACCGAGACCGGCTGCTCAAGGAGAAACCGTGCTGGCTGCCCCCTGATGACAAACAGCCCGACATTTCCAAGAGGTCCAAAAAGACGAACAAACTCAAGGGGACGTTCTACTTCCCKCTGCACGGGAACCAGCACAGCAAAGCAGAGAGGTGCCCCAGGGCAGAGAGCCGTGGGGATCACCCCAGAACGGGCAGCAGGAAGGTGCCCGATGCTGTGGGATACAACCAGGGAGGGTTTGACATCAACACGGCCGTGTGGGTGTGAGCCCATCCCATCCCATCCCATCCCATCCCATCCCATCCCATCCCATCCCATCCCATCCC